AGCGCCGTGTCCAGCGCCGTGGTCAGCTAGGGCGTCCGATCTGAGGGCCTCTGCTGAAAATATGCTGAAAATTGAAAACCTGAAAAAATGTGTGTAAAACTTAAATGGCGATTTTACAAAAACCGTTAAAGATATCAAAAAGCTGACTTAACCAGAAATCGCTGAATGTTTAAAGATCATTTTAAAAGGAGGACTGTGATCCGCCCAGCCTCTCTGCTTTGATCTGATTAGATTCTTCCAGCAGAAAAAATGTTAAAGAATTTGTGGCGGACAGAAAGTTCCTCCAAATCTGCATCCAAGCCTTTAGGTGAAATTATGACATCTGCTTCTGTTTCCCATCATTGTCTGATATAATCAGCTGAGTTCCTATTCATAGATGTTAGATGTGTTTTTGCCAGCATATGAATCCATAAATATTTGTATTTGGTTTTGCATCCAAGTCAGGGATTTTGATTTCCTTCCTAAAGAAGACTTGAATCTGTAAATAACGATAGAAATCTTCTCTGCCCACCTCATAAGTCCGACACAATTCCTCAAATTTAACTAACTCCCCATTTTTAATTATTTTACAGAATGCAGTGGTTCCCTGTCTTGTCCATCTTCTATATTTATGGTCTATCGATGCTGGAACGCGGGTTTTACGCAGGCCAACTCATTACTCCTATCTGTTTGTGGAGGTTGAACTTTTTAACGACCTCTGCCCGCCTCCTCAAAGAGAAACTCAAACAAGAACTTTGGTATACCTGGAGCCGCCCATCCAGACTGTATAGGATAGTCCATTAAAGAAAGCTCAATGTCCTTCATTTTGCCTCATAGGTCGGGTTACACCAGCACACCAGGGGTCTAATCTGGCCAGACCAGTAATAATCTGTCAAGCACGGCAAACCCGTACTTCCCGATCCCCCAGTAGCTGCAGGGTCCAGTATCTCACTCTTGGCCTTTTCTTGTTCCATATAAACCTTGAAAAATGCTTATTCGACTCCCTAAGTTGTTTTTCTGGAACCTCTACTGGAAGTGCTGCTAATACGTACAATAATCTTGGGATGACATTTATCTTTATTGTTCGGATTCTGCTGCTGAAATCGAGAGGAAGGAGGCTCCACCTGTCCAGGTCTTCATATACTTTATTATTAATTCGTTTGTAATTGACGTCATATAATTGAGACAAATGTTTTGTTAAAATAACCCAAGTTCTCCATTTGCAGTTGGATCAAATAGGTCAGAATTTAAGTTTTTTTTTTTTTTAGTTTATAACCTTAGAGTCTGCCATATGTTACCAAGATGGTCCTAAGCAATGGAATACCAGATCCAGGGATTATTATTACTAACACATCATCAGCGTATAAAAATATTTTGTTTCCCTCATTCCCTATTGTCACCCCCTCCAACCCAGGCTCCTCCCCAATAACCGGAGCCAGTGGTTGGATAAAAACATTGAAGAGGCTTAATGGGCAGCCCTGCCTACATCCTCCTCCTAATGTTATTTGACTCGAAAGGCTTCCATTAATTTTAATTCTTGCTTTTGGCGAGGAATACATCGTTTTTATAAATGAAATAAATCTATCACAGAACCTAAATGTCTTCATTACTTCAAATAGAAACTCCCATCCTACGGTATCATATGCTGAGAAGGACTGATTCTCTAGTTATATGATCAATAACATGAACGGCCTTTCTTATACTATCATGTGTTTAACTGTTACCGATGAAACCTGTCTGGTCCTCATCTATCAGGGAACTTAATCTCTTAGCTAATATTCCTGCGTATATTTTATAGTCTTTATTTAATACACTAATTGGTCTAAACCCTTTAGGATCCGTTTATTCCTTCCCCGCCTTTGGTAGGACCGATATAAAAGCTTCTCACCATGATGGCAGAAGAGCAAACACGTGTGTTGAGCGTCCATAAAGTGTTTTTAGGATTCCTAATTAAATAGATTTTCATATTTAAACCAGAATGATCAGAAACGTCTCTTTGGCCTATTATACAATCTCTCCCTCTGTGAAGGTCCCTATGGAACATAAAAAATAATCAACTCTAGTCTGTACATTATGCCTAATAGAGTAAAAGGTAAATTCACGCTCATGTTTATGATAATATCTCCATATATCTATAAGTCCCAATCTTGTTTTTATTGCTTTTCTAAGTGAGTTTTTCTTCGCTCTATGCGAGTTGTTTCCATTTCTGGATTTAGGAGCAAATTAAAATCGCCTGCACATGTACATGTGCCGCATACTTCTGCGGCCACAAGACTGAATACTTCCTTAAAGAAATCGGCCGTGCCTTTTCCAATGACTGCTGATTCCTGTCGTTTAAAATTGTTTCTATATCTTTTACTCTTTTTGATGTATTAATCATAGTTCAACACAAAGTTTTACATTATTCCGTCTTCTTCTGGTTGCTTCTGTACACTTTTTGGACTGTATTTACTTCTGCATACTTTGTACTATTTCAACAATATTGGTATCAAAACGTTCAGCTGGTTAAGGATATTCCTGCTATGATTCCTGTTATTCATAACTTTCACAGTTTTGGAAATATTATGCTTTTTATGAAAACTTTGGCCCCATAGGAATGAATGGGATTCTGCCAAAGTTCTGCTAAAACTTTCAGCTAGAAACGCCATTCAACTTTTAAAACGTTTCTGCATCTTTCTGCTTTTTTCTGTTTAACTTTTTGCTATCTCTGCTTCAGTGAAGTTCAAACTTTTGAAGAATTTTTACAGATTTTTGGATTTATAATGGAAGTCAGTGATCTTTGAGCTCTAGAATGTGCCACGCTAGCGTTTTCAAACATTTCACTCATGCCAAACAACTTCTACTCACTCGCTCATTTTTCACTCTATCTAGACAGACGAATTATACATCAAAACGTAGAGATTTATGTCAGGATTCAACTCACACATTTTAATTCTATCCAGCTTCTAATGATGACACTCTATGCTGATCAACTCACACATTTTAATTCTATCCAGCTTCTAATGATGACACTCTATGCTGATCAACTCATACATTTTAATTC